TAAAAAAAAAAAAAGGGACCAAAGACGACCACAAAAAAGGTTCTATTTGCAAATTACAATTCACCATGCATTCATATACAGTGAGTATAATGATAACTATACTACAAATTCTAATTAAAATATTATGTACAAATTGCATATGTTTATTTGGCACAATTCACCGCCACTTATGCACAGACAGTTCAAAAGATGACAAGGCTAGCAATGACAAATGTGCTAAAAACAAGTTAGCCTGGACATTTGCAGCAACTTGAAACCAAGTGGAGCATCCATTTTTTTTTACTGAAAGTCCAAATTGTTTTTTGAATTTCAAATCAGTAAGAAATCTTCCTGCAGAGTAACCCTTAATGCAATTCTTGTTGAAGTTTTAAAACAGGATGCCAAACTTTCTTTTTTAAAAATAAAAGCCGAGATAAAAACAGTTTACTAGTGCTGCCATCTTTTGAGAAGGACCTGCCAAACCTGTACAGTGGGGTTGGACGGATACCCTGATGAGGGCGAATCCTAATAATAATAATAATAATAATAATAAACAGCTGTACAAATAAATGCTGTTGTAAAAATGAGAAGAATGACAGACTTAACAATAATTACAACAAGATAAAAGTTTTTTTTTATCTCATTGATAGAGTGCATAATTGAGGCACAGTATGTAAATGCTCATCTGTGCACAATTCTTACTTATTTTTTAGCAATTCTTGGTGAAACTCTTTTGAGATACACACCATCTTGTCGATTTGAATTTCTGAACTTCTCAAATGCTCCATGAGGAGACAAATCTCTTTGAAAGTTCACTTTGAAAATACTGCCCTACAAAGACACTCATGCCCATAAATTGCTACAAAAAAGTAATTTGTTTATTTTATGGGATCCTAAATAACTGATCAGCAAGTTTAATAAGTGATAATTTTTACCCTCCTTTGAGTATAAGAAAACAATATAAAGATAATATTTTCTTACTTGTGAGTTTCTTTAACTAAAGCAAGCACTCATAACTAGTTCCCTCAGTCAGATAGCACCAGCCATACGCCCTTCCCCTAAACACTTGGGGCGATATCCACACTTGACTTAGTGGACAACCTTGGAGAAGCCCTGTAGTTATATAATACAAATAACACTGCAGTAACAATGGCATCTTCGTTGCCGTGTTCCCACATGGTTCAACCATGAAATGAGCAAGCCTGCCAATAACAACTTACACACTAGGTTCAACAAAACATGAAACGAAATATATGTAAACAACTATACCAAATGAGACTTTGGATTTCCCTTTTTTTTCAGGGTTGAGATCATACATACTATAAATTCAGTTTTCACTTAAAACAAAAGCATGTCTTTAGCAAAATATCTCCACTTCCACTTATCCACAGGTCAATGAGTATGACACAAAAATATTCTCATTATTCATAAGTAAATATCTTCTCCACTGCCACTATCAACTTCCTCCACCACTACAAGTTATGGTATAATCTTTGGACATATCATTTCCCAAGGTGCCTCATACAAGATGTCCTCTCATTTCTACAGGAAGAGGCTCAGCAGGCTCTGGCTTTTGGCTTCTTCTTGATGGGGGGCGCAGATCAGTGTTTCCTGAATTAGCAAAGGAAAAGAACTGTTTGGAAACACTTCAAAAATAAACCATTAAGTATATGTATGAAATATGCAGATAAAAAGAGAAATTTTACTCCTAATGAATAACTATTATGTTAAGGTGTAAGTGTGAGAATCCCTTGATTAATATGCAACTGCTGACAACTTTTGCTATGGGGAAAATGATATTAAAACATAAAACAGAATAACAAAACTATGGTATTTATAAGGATAAGGTCTTCCAATTCAAAAATTAAAATGCTGTAAACCACCATGAAAATATTCTAATCAAACCTCCTTAAATAAGTTAAGACTGTATAGTATTCATATGTCACACCAGATGGCAGTTACCTGGAGGTGGGGTGTACCGTGGCATTTCATTCAGGTCATAGTTGCGTGCTGGCAGAGGGGGGTGGTTCAGGGGTGGTATATGGGCGCGTCCATGGCTGGAGGACCTTGTAGGGGGTGGGGGTGGAGCCTTGCCATTGGGGGTGGGCTAGAAACAAAGAAGGGCTATTTCATAAATTCAAATCAATATTGGTTAACATAAATAGAATAAGAAATTAGAAAATTGTAAATGGGTATAGAAAAATCTAAAAGAAAGAAAAAATTGGTGTCAGGTAAGTTCTTCCCTAGGTCATGGAATAATGGACCTCTCTTCCAAGATGAAATAAAGTATATATTGAACATGCCTGAAAAAACACATGCTTTGTATTAATATTCTTGATGTTGTGGACCACATACCAAATCCTCCTTCATCATCGTCAGACTCATATGGTCCTATCTATGAACAAAAGGACACAAAAATGTCACATTTTCCATGATCAAGTAGTTATTCATATCACATAAACATCCTTCCAAAAGGCGATAATATCAATTTTTCATTTGTTCAACATTGCTCTGTGGTGTGTGTGTGTGTGTGTGTGTGTGTGTGTGAGAGAGAGAGGAAAGAGAGACAGAGAGAGAGAGATTGTTGTTACAAATTCATCTATTCACTTCTCATATATTTTTCTTTTGAACATTTCAATATGTTGATAACACATTTATTCAGTCATTTTCACCAATATCAGAAAACAAATTCTTCCTTTCTTACCAAGCCCTCCCTGTTCCTGCCTTGGCCCTGTTCGCCTATGCTGTTTAAACCTTTCTGCATTTGGTTCTTCCTCAACTGGTGGGCATACTCGTCCTCCTGGGGGCGCAGCCTGGGCAATGATCCGCCATGATAGGGAACTGAAGAAGGGAAGAATAACGGAAGATAATGAGTTGTTGCTTGAATTTGGTACAAAATGCCAATGAAGACATATAGTATCCGTTGCAAGCTTTTCTTCATATTTCATACAAAGAAGGCCTTTTTTATGTCTTCACAGAGGTGACGCTGAAACAACATCTACCCTACATATGTGAGATACTGTTCAATCAAAGGTTGTTTTATTTTTAAAAATCTTTACTACTCAAAGTGGACAAAACTATCCTTAATCTGTGTGTACCTTCATCAGTCCTGGGGTAGTCGTCTAGATACATGTGTTGACCGCCGTGTCCACTGTGTCCAGCTGGGAGGGTATAGTTCCTCTGCTTGTCCATGGCGGGGGAGTGTGTCTGTCGCAGCGGGGCGTAGCGGGCATCGCGGTCCAGGGAGCGGCCAGAGTAGACAGGTGGCTGTGGAGGGATGAAGACACGTTTTATGTCGTCATCGTCCTGCAGGAGAACCGAGCATGCTGGTTAGTATAAGCTACCAGGGGGTTGAAGCTGATATAATAATATGAAATTACTGGGGGCATGAGGTTGAAGCACTGGAGTAGGGAGTAAATAAACTTGATGGAATAATATCAAATTACTGTGGGGTTGGGGGTGGATTTGAGGTGCAGTCACTGGAGCCTTTACAAGGACTAGAAATGAGCAGCGAGGTGATGGACATAAAATACAAATAGTTCACATTATACAGGTTGACGTGACATGAATGGAAATGGCCAGAGCATTAAATACAATGCATATATCAAGTTACATGGTTGGATACAAAGTTCCAGAAAAAAAAAATTTTGGGACTGTTTATATAAAAGAAAGCACCATTGTCACTGTAACAAGCTTGGCCAAAAGCAAAAATATGTAACAAATTTATGCCACATGTCCCAGCCAACATATATAACATGCTGTATAATTTTTCACAGTGACATATGCTGACAGACATAAATTAACAACATCAGTTTTAACGTTAACAAAAAATTGTGAAAATAAGAACATACGTTTGTTAGTAAGGAAAAGGTAAATATAATACAAAACTATCATATGTTTATCTTACAAACACAAACTGTTTTACAAATATATATCAATTGTTAACATTCAGAAGGCAAAATAGCATTAAAAAAAAAAAAAAAATCCCAACAATTCCTCACATCAAAGCTCCTATAGCTGTCAGTGGCAAAGTCTTCCATGCTTTTGTCCAGGCTCCCCTGGCTGTAGTTGTCCTTCTGGAAGTTCTGGTAGAGGGGGCGGTCTGAGGGGGCGTACATCTCTATGGTATTGGCCTGGCTGGCACTCTCACTACCATCTGAAATGACAGAAGACAATTGTTCAAATTGGCCATTTGGCAACTACTATGTTGCTTAGATATTCTCTTTATTTTCCCCATAGGATCGAATCGGAATAACAGGCTGCTAGGACTGGAAGAACAGCCTGCTTGGAGCATAATATCAACATGTGGGTTATTGTTGCCTGAACATTCATAGCATTTTGAATTTTCATTTTCATGCATCAAATACATATTCTAAGTAAATGCATTCATTGTTGCATATGACAAACTTTTTTTTTTGAAAATGATTTCTGAAGTAATTCTTCCACTTTCTACTATTTACCTCAGAATAAAAGATAAAAACAAATTGTATACTCCTAATAAAGACTTAAGTAAGCAAAAATAAAGCAGTCCTCGAATGGGAAGCTTTTCACTATTTTCAACAGGTATATTCCCTTCTTTTTTATGTAATGATGGGCTGCTTGCCTCTTGCAACGTAATACCAGAGAAATAACAATATAAGAATTAGACAGCTTGTATGCATATTATGCCTCTCTGGAGGAAAACTCTTAACTGGACAGTGTGTCAATGAAATCAGGTGTGCAATGGTTTAATGATGCCACACATGCAACTAACACACAAAATTCATAAACAGAAAGTTAACAAAAATAGCTTTCTACCCATGTAATGCAAACCACTTTTGATTCAGCAAGTGGGAAGGTGAGCAATACTATGTTTTCTACATAAGCTGAGGCAAAGAGAAATAATGATATAAGGAAAAGATAAATTTTCAAGTCAATTAAAAAGAATGACCAGTACACTAATACATTTCAATCCAAAAGAAAAATCAAACAAAAACATAAATATATTGCAGAAATAAATAATAATCAGTAATCTCCTAACTACAACCAGCAAATTACAATCCTACAGATAATTAATGTATCTAGTCAAATAACAACAACAACAAC